AAAAAAAAAAAAAAAAAAAAAAAGAAAAGACTTTGGGGGACGGTACAAAAGGCATGATTGTGCTTTGAAATGTGAGGACATAAGATTTGGGAAGGGTCACAGACAGAATGATATGGTTTGGCTCTGTGTCCCCAACCAAATCTCACTTTGAACTGTAATAATCACATGTCAAGGGCAGGAGCAGGTGGAGGGATTGGATCACGGGGGCAGTTCCCCCGATGCTGTTCTCATGATAATGTGAGTCTCATGAGATCTGATGGGTTTATAAGAATCCGACATTTCCCCTGCTGGCATTCATTCTCTCTCCTGCAGCCCTGTGAAGACATGCCTTCTGCCATGATTTTAAGTTTCCTGAGGCCTCCCCAACCATGTAGAACTGGGAGTCACTTAAACCTCTTTCTTTATAAATTACCCAGTCTCAGGTATTTCTTCATAGCAGCATGAGAATGGACTAATACAACTACTTTTAATTTTAATGTCCAGTGGATCTATCCACAGAATACAGGACAACCATGGAAAGTCTCATCTTCAAATTTAGAATATTAACACAAAACCATATGGTCTTACGATAATGAGTAATATGTAATTAACAAATCCAGTAGAAACAAAGATGCTCTACAAATTATTTCTCTTTAAAGTCATTGTGAAACAAAGGTGTTAATCCTGCACACAAGTACAGACACAAACTTAAGAAAGATAAAAATATCCTGATACAAAGGAGGGGTTGGCAAACTTTTCCTGTAAAAGACCTGACAAGCAAATACTTTAGGTTTTGAGAGCTAACAAACAAAATGAAGGATATTATATAATTACTTATATAATGAGACAAAAAATTCCATAATTCTTATCGATGCAATTCAAAATATTATAGAAACAATAACAGAGTACAACTTTCTGTAAGACAGGTTGACTAAGGAGAAGACTGAAACTCTTCTGGGGACAATATTTCACTTAGTTGGGATTCAAAGTTACTGTTCCCTATCATGAGAATCAATCACAAATGTTCACACATTCTAATGTTTACCTTGAATACAATAAATTTCATGTTTGAAAATGTCTT